CAACCTTCAAAGCTGAGATTTGCTTTGGTATGTGTTGATTCACTTGAAATTAATAGATCTAAGCTAGAAACCTAGAGATTCTTCAAGATCCAAGAGCTTCCTTATGGTAGAAATGAAGAACAAGCAAGATCAAGCAAAATTGACTCAAAAGCACTTCCAATCTAGCTTCCAAACTCAGATCTCAATTCAAACGAAAATTGAGGGATGAATTGAAGATAATGGAGATGAATGATAGAGGTTTAACTCTAGAATTCAAGGATCCCAATGAAGAATCAATGAACTCAAGTGGAAAGAGTTTTAATGGAGCTTTTGGGAGTGAAAAAGTGGAGAGAAAGTTGAGAGTAAATTCTCAAGAATGAATGTGAAATCTGAAAAATGAAGGTTAATTGTGTGAGGTTTGGAGCAAATTCACTTAAGTAAGCTCTAGGCTAGGAACAAAAATGTGGGTTAGTGTTTGGAATGGAAATTAGGAGTGTAATTAGGAATGGAGTGTTTGAATTTTGGAGGGAAATGGTGAAAATTGAAACAATTCTAGATCCTTCCAACGATGATCATGTGAAATCAATGGTTGAGAATGATTGGAAATTTGCAATGCTGAAATTCAAATTTTTTAGTAAATTTCGCCCAGGGTAACCGATTACCCATAAGTGGTAACCGGTTACCATATTCAAAAATTCCCAAATTGGCGCCAAATAGAGGAAAACTTGTATAATCATATGTTGCCACCTGTTCTGAGCTTCGTTAAGCCTTTGAAACTTGCCATTGGATATTATAACTGTGAGAATGTCTGAGATATCATGTACATCGTCTCCTGAGCTGAAAATAACCCGCTGAATATAAAATAAAATCAACCGCTCGATCGCTGGGCAAAATAAATGTCGGAGCCTCTGATGCTCGCTGTTTGAACTCTTGCAATGAAAGGGAAACCTAAGCCATAGAAACACCTTGATCCCATGACTCGAGAACCAACGCTATGATATGGGAAAATGCAAAATGCAAAAAAACATAAGGCAGTTACGGTTAAAACGAAAGAGAAAATTTTGGAGTGCTACAGGTGGTGACCACTTACACAAGTCGTGTAACCAGTTACATGATCAATATGTTTGAATTTTTTGAATGTTATCAGGGGTGGTAACCGGTTGCACCTTTATTGTAACCGACTACACTATTCATAATGTGTCTTTTCATGAATCATTATCATTCCAAACCATTGCAAACCTTCATGGATATGCTACAAACTTATACATTTGATCTTAGAGGGTTCTTATGGTGTATTTAAGACAAGATACATTAGTTTTATAAATTACCTCTTTTACACAAATTTTACATACAATTCAGTTCATTTCTTAGTGTTCATTCATAAAAAAATCCTTGAAATAATTCTGCATAATATTTCATATCATAGCAAAAGTTTTATTTAAATTTTTAAACACTTAAGGTGCATATATTATTGAATTGTACATTGAAAGAGATTATTAAATTTTTATTTTTGAAATTTTTCAAGAACCAATGTTATTTCAATTGTTTAAGTATATTGTGAACTAATCATTAAAGTGTGTGGTGATTAGTTTGTGTAAAAAAAAAATGGCCTGCTTTCTTGTATTTATGATAAGAAGACTATATATGGTCTTGATGTAAAACTTGTGAGAAGAATATCATATTGAAAAAATATTCAAAGGGTGAAAGGATTAAATGTACCTTTAATTATAAAGGGAACTTGTATAATTTGCCTATGTCATTTATAGTTTTCTGCAATTTATATTTTATGCACTTTAAGAATCATAAAAACCATAAGTTTCATTGTTTTTAAAGTAAAAATTCATAATCTTTCAATTGAGAAAGAAAAATTCAACAAATCTAATCCACCAACTCTTAAATTGCACTATGTAATTACATGATGAAGGAATGATTCTCATCTTTCTATTTCACCATTATTTTGCCAATGCCTTTAAACACAACCTCATTGTTGTCAACAAATATCAACCATTATTTGTTTCTTATCATATGGTTTGAATATCCCTGTCAAGATACAATATATTGGATTTATCACAACCCAATCTAGTACCATCCATCAATAACGCATCATCAGATTCACTATCACCTGCATAGGAAAATTTCACTTCACTTTTATTACCTGACAGTGAACCCTTGTTAGAATAACATCACAAAAAATCAATAACAGTGCATTAAGTAAGCCTTTGATTTTACTAAACTACAACAGAAAATTGCTATATAGAATGTGTGGCTGAATATTTGCAACATAAATCTCATTGACATATGAACCAAAAACATAAGGTAGGGGAGAGGGGACCATTATGAACTGTCTAGTTTGTATTAATGTCTCAGTGCAGGATGTATCTAGTCTTTGTTTTGTGTACATAGAGTGTCTACTTTTTCGATAGTCTTTCATTTTCTCACTTTTATGCATTTCTTGTTACTCTAGACTGACATTTTTTCCTTTGGTATAGGCCCCATGTAACTCTATAGTTTTAATTGGTGTCTCCTACTTTTATTATTTAGATCTAGCTGAGTTCATTGATATTTAGATTTTTTTAGTTATTCGGTAATACTCTAGTTACATATTAAACGTAAATATTTTTTCTAAGTTGATTGAATAATTATTAATTTATCGGATTAATATGTCACTTATTCAGGAAACTTGTAAAAGACATAACTACCTTTTCTTATAGCAAGAAATATTCATAGTATGAAGAATACTCAAACAAACATTACAATAATGTCACAATTGCCTATAAAGATGGTTGAAAGCACAAAATCATTCCATTCTAAACAAGCAATGTGTTAGTGATCTAGGAAATTTAATGGTGCTTTGCACTATTCATAAAAGCTACAATAACATGATTTTTGAATAAGGCAAAAGTCAAAGTCAAGAAATGAATTTGATGTTGAATTCAATGTCCTTAGCATGAAATGAGTCTTCTTTGAAAATCACGGCTTTCCGTTTACACCAAATGCACCAAAAAGCTATCATCCATAAAAATCCTTCAATGTGTTTTCCAACCTTACCTTTGAATATTTCTAAAGCTTGGCCAAAATCAATAGTGCAGTCAATGGAAGTTTGTTTATCCAATCCAATCCAATCCCAAAATAGTCTTCAAACTATTTGAGTAAAAGCACAATGTAGCATGACATGTTCCAATGTTTCTTCTTGAACTTTACAAAACAGACAATTCACCAATGTAGGATCATGGATGATCTTCCTCTTGAAAAGTTGTTGCCTAGTTGGAACTCTATTATGCAACATTCTCCAACAAAAAGCCTTGACTTTCGATAGAACTTTCATCTTCCACAGCCTCCTCCACATAGAACTCAAGGTGGTAACTCTAATCATAGGAATTCCCTGGCCTCTAAAGGAATCATAGTTGCATTTGACAGAAAAGTGATAAGAGGGAGCAGCTAACCAAATGATTTGATCCTCCTTCAAGTTGCTAGGATATAACTCTATCAATAATGTGTTTATGTGCATTAGCTCATTTGCAGTTGGTTGATCTGCAATGTTTAGACCTTCTTTAGACTTCCAATGCCATGAACCTTGGAGCCAAATCCCCATGTCACTGGTCATGGCCTTAGTGTTATGAGTGTGGCAGTATAAGAGTGGGAAAAATCTCTTCTGAGGGCTTTGATCCAAGCCAAATTCCTTTCCAAAAGGGAGTTGCGTCACCATTGCCAAGTTTGAATTTAGCAATGTGTCTGATTCCAGTTTTGTCAATGTTGAAACTCATCATATTCAGTCCAATGGCATCGAGGTCCCTCCACCAAAGAGATTGCTTTGAAGAATGATGTTTATTTCCATCAAGCCACATGTTCCTTATTAAGTCTCCATATTCGAGTTGAATCATGTAACTCCATATAACTTCCTTATCATTTAAGATCCTCCATATCCACTTACATAATAGTGCCTCATTAAATCTAGTAATGTTTTTGACCTAAGACCTCCATCAAATTTTGATTTGCACACTGTTTTCCAGTTTATCCAATTCACTCCCTTGCCTTCCTTCAGTCCAAACCATAGAAATTTCCTTCGTATTCTAATAATTTCTCTCCTTACCCTATCAGGCGTCTTGTAGAATGAGATATGATGAATATGTAAATTATTTAGCACAATATTCAATGTTATTATCCCTTCCATGGATAAGAATATAACTTCCAGCATGATAGCCTACTCTTCATGTTAGATATAACTTGCTTCCAAGCTTCAATTCTTCTTGGATTGGTGCCCACTATGATCCCTAAAAATTTGAAGGGAATGTTGTCTATGCTGCAGAATAGAAATTAGAGACAACCTGCAAAAAGAGAGGAGATAGACCAGTGCCATAAAGCTCGCTCTTGTTCACACTGACTCTCAAGCCAGACACTAGCTTAAAAGTTCTCAATATGGACTTAATGGCCCACATGCCACTCCAAGAGCCATCACCAATAATGTTTGTGTCATCTGCAAATTGCAAAAGACCAAAAGAAACTACATCCATATATGTATGGATCTTAAATTCTTTAAACAAATTAGTGAATGTAGCCTTCCTAGTTATGTCTGCTAGCCCTTCAGCAACAATGGCAAAGAGGAAAGGTGAAAATGGATCATATTGCCTCAGTCCCCTTGAAGTAACAAAATCTTTGGTTGGGATTCCATTGATTAAGATGGACATGCTACTATTAAAGACCCCTCCTTCCATCCAAGAAATCCATTTCTTTCCAAATCCCATTCTATTGAGCATGTACCTCAAAAAATCCCAACATACATTGTCATAAGCATGCGCAAAATCGACCTTGAATAATAGGCATTCCTTCTTATATCTTTTTGCATAATCAATCACCTCATTGGTAACCAATACACCACCAAGTATTTATCTACCTAGAAAGAAACCAGTTTGAGAATTGAACACTAATCTACCAATGACATTTCTGATCCTCTTTGCCAAGATCTTAGACACAATTTTGTACAAGCTGCCTATTAAACAATTTGGTCTGTAGTCTTCAATATTTTAGGGATTTAAGGACTTTGGTATGAGGGCAAGAAATGAAGCAATCACAACTTTAGGAAGATGTACAGTAGTGTGAAATTCTTGAATGGCCCCAATGACATCCTCACCCAAAATGTCCCAGCACTTCTTGAGGAAGGTGATGTTATAGCCATCAGGACCAGGGCTTTTGTCTCCATCACACTCCCATATGACTTCTTTGATTTTCTCCCTAGAAAAGACTTCTTCTAATTTGGTACTCTCAACTTCACTCAAGCAATTGAAATCTATACCATCCAATGATGGTCTTGTACCTCCTTGATCAGTAAATGTGTTTTTAAAATGGTTACTTGCCACAACCTTTACTAAGTCTGGCTCCTCCACTCTCCCACTATCCGTTTCTAGGGCTGTTATTTTATTTCTCCTCCTTCTCATGTTCAACGTACCATGAAAGAATCTTGTATTTAGATCCCCTTCCTTAATCCAATTATGTCTAGATTTTTGTTTCAATAAACTTTCTTTCATATGTAAATTGTTCCCCATCTGGTTTTGCGCCTCCTTCCTTTATGCTATGATGGCCAAATCAGTTGAGTGGTCAATGATGCTATCAAGAGTTTTAAGTTCCTCCACGCATTTCTCAATCTTAAGATCAACTGTTCCAAAAACATCTATGTTCCACTCCTTTAAGCTCAATTTTAATAGTTTAAGCTTTTCCTTCATGATGAAAGCTTTCTTCCCTTCAACATGATAAGACTTCCATTGGTTTTCCACAAAGGCCAAGAACTGATTATGATTAAACTAGCAATTATTTGATCTAAATAGAATAGGGCCCCAGTTGATATGAATTCCTCTAATCCAAATTAGACAATGATCAGATATGTCCTTTCTGCCAAATTCTTGAGCTACAAGATTCTAAGACTCAATGATTCTTTCAGACACAAGAAACCAATCTAATATACTCTTTGCTTTTCCATCAGAGGCAAACCATGTATATTAATTTCGTAAGGATGGTAAACTAATAACATTCATGATATCAATGAAAGCAGCAAAATTCTCAATTTCAAATTTGTTATTTTTGTCATTAATTTCCACCCTTTTTATCTGATGCTTGAAGGAAGTAAAGTCTCCCCCTATGAACCATTCCCCATTACTAAGTTTGTTCTTTCAGCTGATTATTTCCTTCCACTTATGTCTTATTTGATCCAAAATACAATATGAGTAAATGTTCAGAAATTAAATAGGTTTGTCTCTGAACATGGCCTGAATGCCCAAAAAGCCTTTGCCTTTGAAACTCAAGATTGATATTATGATCCCAAGTCTCCACATTATTATCATTCCTCCTAATTGGACTATAACATCCAAAATAGGTCCATAACACATCCTCAGACCCCCATATATATTTGATGTAAGTTTCAGGTAAGTTTTGTTTTTAGTCTCCTGAATGAACATGCGATCCACTTTGCCATTCAATATTAACTGCTTATCTATTTTTCTTCTAATGGCCATACCATACCCTTGAATATTTAATGATAAAATATTCATGATTCACCATTTTAATTCTCCTTCCTTACTATGGCCCCTTTAGAATATCTTACCTTCATGCTTCTGATGATTTCTTCAAAATCTTCATTTGGTGCCTCTCCAACAATGCCCAATGTTATGATTTGAGACCACACTCTAGCTACAACATCCAATTAAATATTTCTTCTTGCTCTATCATTACCTTAGATTATGTCACTGATGCGTCTGCAAGTGCACAAAAATATCGAAGTAATATAAAATATTTGTCGAACCCACATAGACCAATGTCAACCTACCGTTATCTATTGTTGCAGCGTAAAGCTAAGGCTAATGGAATTTGGAAAGTTAAATGCGAATGAAATTAAATTTAAAGGAAATAAAGGTTATTGGTTTAAGGAAAAGCGATAAAGGGATATCGGTATGTAATGCCTTAATTATCAGGGATTCGACAGGTCGCCGGTGCTTTTTAGATTTTGCAAACACTTTTCAGGAGAAAATACTCGTTTAAAGACCTTTGCCTCACACTGGTTGTTGACTCGGGTCATAATCTTAAGGCGGAATGTACGCTCTCGCAGTCCCATTCGGGGTTAAAATTACTTTTTGAAAGTAAATAAATTCTGATTTCTTTTAAAGGGCTTTCGCTGTGTTTAAAATCAATGCCTAGTTTTTACTATCTGGTTCAAACCCCACACTTTCACGTGCCGGCTCAAACCTTAATAAGTTTCCCACTCTCATGGAAAAACCATTGTAAATAGCTTTTCACTGTCGTGACAAAGGTTTATTTAGAAAATTTGATAAAAAACTACGGCCAGAAAATTGTTTGTAAAAAGGTAAGGCGCACCGGGTATTATCGAATCCCGTCCTACTAATTTGATACATATCTATAATATTGGTTTAGCTAGACATGATGATTAATGCAAACGTAAATAAATAGTAACAGTAAAATAGTATAGCATGCATACTGACAGAAATAAAATAAGTATTAATGAGAACCTAAAAGTAATGCTGATACTTGAATTCTCGAGTAGTCTTCAACAATGTCGGCAAGATTCTACTATGACGAAATAAAAGTGCAGAAGGAAATACAGTGCTCTAAACTAAAAAGAAAAAGGAAAGGAAATAAAAGAAACAATAAAAATGGAAAAATGACTTCCACAGAATTTTGGCAGCCCTTCGGGACGTAGAATCCACCCCCCTGGAAGTTGTGAATCTAAGGCCTATTTATAGGAGATATTTCATTTCTCAACTTCCAGAGATCTTGCATGAGTTATGGAGGAAGTAGAAGTAACTTCCTATAGTGGGCAGTTAGTGGAGAAAGTGTAGGAGAAAAGGGGAAAGTTTAGGAAGAGATTAACTTGAGGGTGCTCGTGGCCACTTCTGTTTTGAACGGACTGAACTTGGGGTCGTGACGAGCTTGTGATGACCGTCACACTTAAGTGATGCTCATGACGGTCGTGGTGGAGTCTGTGACGACCGTGACATCTACAAAATCTGTTTTTCTGTTTTTCTTCTCTATTTCTTTTTTTCTTATTTCTTTTCCTTCCATTTCTTCTTCTTTTCTTTCTTTAATCCAAATTCTCCACAATCTGCAAAACATAGTAAATTAATCGTATAATAGAACATAAATCAAGATAAATTAACAATAATTGCAAATAAATTCATGTAAGTCAAGTCAAATAAACAATATAATTTCGCGTTATTAAACCATTGCTTGTCCTCAAGTAATCAACCAACACGGTAAAAAAAATAAGCATAATTTGAAACAAAGACACAGTGAAACTCTAATCATACGTGGCTGCTAGGCTAATGTTAGATCGATAGGTACTAAATATCAATACCAAGGATACCGTAACGACACAATTTCAAAGATTCCCTACTTATGCAAACCAACCTGAATCAAACCATTATAACTCAACCTATATCTCATGCTCTCTTTCACCCCATTTCATTCTAGTGCAATCACATTAAACCTGTTATCCATACACATTAATGGCAAGTAAACCTGTTAGTGACTATGATCTCATTGTTATTTCATTTTTCTCTGCAAATATGCTTAAGCATCAATTGAACTTAAAGAGTTTGTACCGTTGGGTTAAGTGATCGGGTGAGGAGCACCTAACTTAGAAGGAACATGTCTTTTTATTCATAATTTTTATCTTTCTTAATTTCTCATTTTAAACCAGAGATCATACACTTATTTGCATCGGTTTTTTACTTAGTGTGTTTAGGATGGTGCTGACTGCTTAAATAAACTACTCAGGGATTACTAAAAAAAACTGGAGCTTTAAGGTCTCGACATAATAGGTACTCAAATGGATTTTGCATATTTAGGGGGTTAAGAGTGTCAGGATGATATCAATTTTATCAAAACTTTCCCAAGCTTTTCTAACAGAGCCTGAACAGGCTATATACTCTCAGAGTACCATGTCATGAATCGAAGCAAAAAATTGTTGGAGGTTAAAATTTTGAAAATTTGAAATTATGGGGAAATTGAATAACAAGTGAAAACCACGCATAAAGACTCGACAACACATGCAAAGATTTTGACATAACGTTAAAAATAGATAAAATTGCTAAAACTATGAAATAAAATATAAAATAATAAATTAAACTAAAAAGCGGTAGAGTTCCCCCCCCACGCTTAAACCAAACATTGTCCTCAATGCTTTAATAAAAGGTGGGAAAAGGAAAGATAGAACTTGTATGAATGCTACTGCGTGCCAAATCCTCTATGATCATGCTCTTGATGTCAATGTCTTTGTTGATCACTTCTACTTCAGCGGCGGGCATTTTGAGATACCTTCGTTTGTGTAATTCTAGAACCAACTCATCATATTACTTTCTTCCAGAGGAAGTACTTACAAAAGTGTTAGGAAAATATGGTGCGGTGTGTGACGGTGGAATATGACCATGCGAAGAACAAGGAAGAGGTGAGTTATGGACGAGAAAGACATGCTCTCTCCTATCATATTCATCATCGGTGTCACCACCAGCAGCGACATTCGTAGGAATATCCGTGGGCACCAACTCATCTCCCGAATCATTATCTAGAGAATTTTTGCCTAGATGTGGCCGAGACGTGACATGCAGTGCATCTCCTTATTTTCTGCAAATTCAAACAGACAAACATAGAAACATAAAATAAAAACTTCATGGGTTGCCTCCCACGCAGCACTTTGTTTAACGTCGATAGCTTGACGGCTAAGGAATGCAAGTACGCATGGTGGTTCTTTCAAGAATGGTTCCTCGATCGAACTTTGAATAGTCTTCGGTTTCCATGGCCACTTATCAAGCCATCGCTCATATCCTTCACATTTTTTTTCTTTCTTCTGTAGGGTGGTTCATTGTTTTGAACTTGTGGTGGTGGTTCTGGATCTATCCTGAGTATCAGTTTTTCAAATTTGGGCTTAGTTATTTCATCCACCACCTCAAGAGTTAATCTTACCCTTTTAACAGTAATGATAACCCTAGTTTCATGGTCCTCGAATTTTCTTTTTCTATGAGGGACCTTAGACAAAGGTGCATTGGTGTGGATATTTTCCAATACCTCCACATATGTTCTGGATTGGGAGTCTACCTTAGCTTCCAGAACCCTTTGTGGGAAAGAAATAGGTGGGGTATAAGGAGAAGGAGCAACAATAGGCGCTTCCTTCTCTACCTCTTCGACAACCTCCCTTTCGGGTGGTGTCGGCGGATTTTTCTCAATATATATGCTTTTCTCACCAAAACTCTCCTCAGACTCATTATCACTCTGCCTAGGATTTTCTATTTGTTCTTCATTATTGGTTGTTAAAACATCCACATGTCTATCTGGGAAGGGTCCTAGAGGTGTTTGTGTAAGCAGGGAGGTTTGAGTCTCCAAAGCCTCGCTGTGAATCGCGAGGGAATCGACCATAATGCTCATTTGCTTAAGATTTTCATTAACTTGGAGATGTTGTTTTCTAAAATCTTCGTTTTGAAGAGTTGTTTCTCCACAAAGCGCTCCATCATAGATTCTATCCTAGAGTGAGTAAACGTAGCATTAAGTTCTTCTAGTAATAGTTCGAGGTTGGATGTATCAAAATCTTGCGGTTCCTCAAAATATTGGGAGTGGTAATTGTAGAGGGAATTTGGGTGAGAGTGCGTCGTATTGAAATCCTCCAATAATATTTCGAGGTCAGATTTAAGCGGATCTTGTGGTTCCTCAAAATATTAGGGGTGGTAGTTATAATATTGGGGGTGGTAGTTATAAAGGAAATTTGGTTTATATATAGTAATTGAGATAAGAGTGCCTTAGTCTATACTATGCAACAACGGAATCACAATATTGACTGTTGGTCTCCGGCAACGGCACCAAAAACTCCATGTGTCCGCAAGTGCACGGAAATATCGAAGTAATATAAAAGATTTGTCAACCCACAGAGACCAATGTCAACCTACCGTTATCTATTGTTGCGGCGTAAAGCTAAGGCTAATGGAATTTGGAAAGTTAAATGCGAATGAAATTAAATTTAAAGGAAATAAAGGTTATTGGTTTAAGGAAAAGCGGTAAAGGGATATCGGTATGCAATGCCTTAATTATAAGGGATTCGACAGGTCGCCGATGCTTTTTAGTTTTTGCAAACACTTTTCAGGAGAAAATACTCGTTTAAAGACCTTTGCCTCACGCTGGTTGTTGACACGGGTCATAATCTTAAGGCGGAATCTACACTCTCGCAGTCCCATTCGGGGTTTAAATTACTTTTTGAAAATAAATAAATTTTGATTTCTTTTAAAGCGCTTTCGCTGTGTTTAAAATCAATGCTTAGTTTTTACTATCTAGTTCAAACCCCACGCTTTCACGTGCTGGCTCGAACCTTAATAAGTTTCCCACTCTCATGGAAAAACCATTGTAAATAGCTTCTCACTGTCGTGACAAAGGTTTATTTAGAAAATTTGATTAAAAACTACATCCAGAAAATTATTTGTAAAAAGGTAAGGCACACCGGGTATTATCGAATCCCGTCCTACTAATTTGATTACATACCGATAATATTGGTTTAGCTATACATGATAATTAATGCAAACGTAAATAAACAATAACAGTAAAATAGTATAACATGCATACTGACAGAAATAAAATAAGTATTAATGAGAACCTGAAAGTAATGCTGATACTTGAATTCTCGAGTAGTCCTCCACAATGTCGGCATGATTCTACTATGGCGAAATAAAAGTGCAGAAGGAAATACAGTGCTCTAAACTAAAGATACAAAGGGAAGGAAATAAAAGAAAAAATAAAAATGGAAAAATGACTTCCACAGAATTTTGGCAGCCCTTCGGGACGTAGAATCCATCCCCCGGAAGCTGTGAATCTACGGCCTATTTATAGGAGATATTTCATTTCTCAACTTCCAAAGATCATGCATGAGTTATGGAAGAAGTGGGAGTAACTTCCTGTAGTGGGCAGTTAGTGGAGAAAGTGTAGGAGAAAAGGGGAAAGTTTAGGAAGAGATTAAGTTGAGGGTGCTTGTGGCCACTTCTGTTTTGAACGGACTGAACTTGGGGTCGTGACGAGCTTGTGACGACCGTCACACTTAAGTGATGCTCATGATAATCATGGTGGAGCCTGTGACGACCGTCACACCTACAAAATCTGATTTTCTGTTTTTCTTCTCTATTTCTTTCTTCTTTCTTTTCCTTCCATGTCTTCTTCTTTTCTTTCTTTAATCCAAATTCTCCACAATCCGTAAAACATAGTAAATTAACCGTATAATAGAATATAAATCAAGATAAATTAACAATAATGGCAAATAAAATCATGTAAGTCAATTCAAATAAACGATATAATTTCGCGTTATCAGTCACCCGTAGATATTGAGTCACAACAGAACACTGATCCACCCGAGAAATTTGTTGATTCATTGGTAGAGTTAATGGAGGATGTAAACTTTGTATTTGTTGGTGGCAAGAACAAATTTAAAGGTTCAAAAAAGTTTGTAGCAGGTTCATCAGCATATTTTAACACCTCTGTCAATAATCTTTTCTTTGGCTGTTTCTTGAGCCTATGAGACTCAAGGCCCACTAGATCATTAGGATTCATTAAAATGGGATCTGAATATTCCCTCTCTTGGGGGATATCTTTCAATTTGGCAGTCTTTGCAGCCTTCTTTCTATGTTTCCTGGGGCCCTGCCACGAGCCCTTGGCCAAAAGTTGATGTTTGGTCAGTTTCCCATATGCTAAAGAAGACTTTTTCCCAGTCACTTTTTTCCTCTGAACCCTTACACCTTGGGGCCCACCGTTGATATACTTCACAGTCCGCTCCGCAGCGCCACTGACACTATGAACTTCCTTTACTATAGTTGTCACATCATCACTGTCATTTGGTGATAATTGTTGGGTGTTGCCCAAGGAGGCCCTTGGAGAGGTCAAATCAACCATCAGAGTAGTTCTGATGACTAGTTCTTCTCTATCTTCATCTGCACCAACTATACCATTTTAAGTTCCATCATCATCTTCATCCCTTCCATCCAAGTCCCAAGTCCTATTGCCATCTTTATAGGATGTTGCTTCTGAGTTTGAAGTGGATTTATCATGTTGCTTGGGATTGAAAATCCTCTTAGGACCATGAGTACCTTCCTCTATCTTGACACGATAAACATAACCATCGATATCCATGTTAATCCATTGGTTAATGTCCATTGAATACTTGGTTCTAACAAGTATTTTAGAAACATCAAAATTAGTCTGATTTCTTGTTTCATCATCAGAGAAAATGTATTTTTCCACCGAGCAAGTTAAAAAAATCAAAGAAGTTCGGACCCCATGCATGGCATGGTATTCCAGAACACGATAACCAAGTTAATCTTTCATTGTCAATGTCATTAGGGGACCATGGTCGAACCTCTATGAACCATTATAATAACCAGTCTCTAGAATCCTCAACCAAAGCCTTCAATTCCCTTTCTTCCATTTCCTCCATTAAACATAGATTTGCACTCATTGGTGTAATCTTGATAGAGAAATACTCATGGTGGAAATACTCTTGGATGTTGTAAGTCATTCCCAGATTTGCAACAACGTCAACATATGCTTTATTGAACCTGACATTATATTCTTATATAGTATTATATTGAAGGTGCGCGAAAATCGGCTTCTTGTCAAATTTGTTGTGGTATTGTCTTTGCTGCTCATGTTCACCCATATTGTTACATACTTTATTTTTCAAGACATCTGCAAAAGATTTATATGGTTCAGTGAATCTTCTTAGATTGTTGTTGTTGGTTTTTTATGTGTTTTTCCTGTTATCATAGTTTCGATCATTTTCATGCTTTTTGTCGTCATGATTGTCCCTTTGAAACCTTGGTAGGTTGAAAAAGAGCTTGACATTGTTGATGATGATGTTGTCCAATCTCACAGCCATCCTTCTCTCATCCATTACATTGAAGAATCTTGTGAAGCCATATCTTCTTTCATTTTCGTCGCGTCTAGACGGAATCACTACTTCATCAATGTCTCTGTATTTCTTGAATATCTCATTCATCTCTTTTGCACCATGTGAATCTGGGAACCTGTAATACCCTAATTTTTACCCCTAAGATCCCCCTTTTTCATTTGCATCATTACATACGCAAACAAGATCATACATTTTGGTCTTCATGCCCTTCTCTGTGTATTTCTTACTTGCTTTTTCTTGTTTATGTTTACTAACCTCTAACCAAAATTACCAAAAATATTTTTCAATTTGCTTGTTTCTTCTTCTTCTCTGTGTGTTTAGGGTTTTGCAAGGAGATTGATGGCAAAGACATTCATTCCAGTCTAGATCAGATGGAAGTTTGACCTCATCTTGGTCAAACTATCAAGAGTTTGCTTCAATTATAATTTACCCGTGGTAGTGGGCTATTTTCTCAAGAAATGTGAATGTTCAAGGCCATTTTGTCTCGTGCTAGAATTCATCCGGCTATCAAGAAGTGATTTATGAGATTCAGAAAATTATGAAAAGTTCAAGTGGATTCAAATGACAGGTTCTTTAGTTATAAGCTATTCAGTGGTCCAAGATTTGTTCATTCATTTTATCAAAGATTGGTGAAGAAATCTCAAGTGTGGATTTTAGGTCAGATTTAATCAAGGTGTGCATTAGTAAAACGTATTGGTGAAGAGTTTATTTCAATTCATCATCATTAAAATTGTATCTAATCCATTTTTTTGATTACCTACCTCCTTGAAACTTCATGATGCTACAAAGTCAATGAGTGGTCATAAGTTGAAATTCAAAAGTGATTAGTGAGCCAATCTCTTTGTTCTATTATGCGACATATGATGCAGTGGCATGGTATTATCTATTACAGGAAATAACTGTTGCTTTAATGATTCAAGTTTGGTTTTTAGCTTGAACAAGATCTCATCCATAAGGATAATTCACTAGCTTTTGAAGCTACTGAGATAGAAGGTAGTGTGTCATCTTTAAAAAGGGCACTTGTTGTGGTCTTTCATTGTCTTCAAGATAATTATCATGCTGATATAACAAGGATGACCAAACAAAATCCAAAACATTGTCAAACTTATGATCACCCAAACTTGCCTTGCATGATCAGTCGGCTGGATTGTAGACAGAGCTTTGTGAAAATGCTCGCTGATAAGCAGCGCCGTGAGACAGAGGGGATTGAAGCTATTCTCCAGTTATTTACATTGTCTTTAATGCCTCCTTATATTTCTGTTGGTCAGACCATCTCTGTTGCCTTCAAGAACTCTTCCCCACAACATTACGTTTCTCTTGCTCGAGATGTATGCTCGTTCTTAAGGGAACATTTGAAATCTACCAACAAAGTCTTAGATTCTGTTTGGGTGACTCAGATTGCTCTAGTTGAAACTGCTAAATAGTCAAAAGTGGTGAAGTACCTCTATAGTCTTGAAGGTATCTTGGCTCTCTCTGTAGGGAACAACTGTTGTAGTCTCTGAACTAAGCACTTCTGATGATGATGTGTTAAAAGATATTGGGAGAACATACAAAGAAATAATTTGGCAAATATCTTTATGTAATGACTCCAAGACAAATGAAAAGAAGACTAATGATCAGGAGGCCTGACATAGATAACATTGATGAATATGTTAGGAACACTACTGTTAGGTCTTTCAGCATTGTTGCATCAGCTCTTGGTATTCCTGCTTTGTTGCCCTTCTTGAAAGTTGTTTGTCAGAGTAAGAAATCTTGGCAAGCTTGGCACAAGGGATTAAGATTGTGCATGAGATTGCCATTTTATTTGGTTGTGATGTGTGTCCCTATTTAAGATCTCTGGTGGAAATTATAGAGTCTGGTTTAGGTGATGAAAAATTAGAAGGTGAAGACAATCACTGCATTGTCTCTTGCCGCTCTCGCTGAGGCATCTGCTCCATATGGTATTGAAAGTTTTGACTCATTGTTGAGGTAATTATGGAAGGACATTAGGCGACACCGTGGGAGTTCCAGTCACCAGATGAAGAAAGATAAAGAAGCATCTTTACAGTCCAAAGTTCTTAAGAAGTAAATGCCTTACCCGGTTCCATTGGGGTGGATAGCTGGTGATAAATAAAAGACTATTCAGTTGAGTTGGAGATTGTTTCTCCGGGATTGTCGGTGTTACAATGGTTTGTTCAAATCTCTAATGGAAGTATCATTATGATATGCACCTATAAGAATTGTTGTGACAATGTCATCTGATTGCAAGTGATATACTTGATAGTGCTTCTAGGCTAAATAAGTTGGAAAGTTGCTAAATTTACTGGATGTCATCATCCTTAGTGCTGCAGGCAAGTGTGGTTCATCTGACAAATTCCATGTATCTACAGAGCCAGTACCGGGTCCACAAGTTTCTGTAGTAGAGGGAGATGTAAATATAAATTCTGTTGTTTCACCTGGTCAAGATGCATCATTTCTAATTCATGTATTCATTACCTTAACTCAGGGTGGAGGATTTTCCAGAGCTGCAGTTTGAGGCTGCTTGGGCTTTGACAAGTATAGCTTCTGGAACATCTGATAATACTAAGGTAGTAATCGATAGCGGTGCTATCCCAATTTTTGTGAAGCTCCTTACTTCTCCTAGTGATGATGTCCGTGAACAGGCTGTGTAGGCATTAGGAAATGTTGCTGGAGATTCACCTAGGTGCCGCGATCTTGTTCTTGGTCATGGGGCTTTGCTTCCTCTGTTGGCTCAATTAAATGAGCATGCCAAACTTTCCATGCTCAGAAACGCTACTTGGACAATCTCAAACTTTTTCCGGGGGAAGCCACAACCTAGTTTTGATCAGGTTAAGCCTGCGCTTCCTGCACTTGCCAGTCTCATCCATTCTAATGATGAAGAAGTCTTGACTGATGCCTGTTGGGCACTTTCATATCTTTCTGATGGCACAAATGATAAAATGCAAGGTGTAATTGAAGCTGGTGCTTGTAGCCGGCTTGTTGAGCTTCTTCAGCACCCAACTCCTTCTGTGCTTATTCCTGCTCTCTGTACAGTTGGAAATATTGTCACTGGAGATGACATGCAGACACAGGTCATCATCGACCATCAAGTTCTTCCCCATCTTATGAATCTCCTGGCTAATACTTATAATAAAAAGCATCAAGAAAGAAGCATGTTGGACATTATCCAATATCACAGCTGGGAATACACAACAGATACAGGCTGTAATTGATGCCAATATAATTCCTCCTTTGGTCACCTTGCTTCAAAATGCTGAGTTTGATATCAAGAAGGAAGCAGCATTGGCCGTTGTCTCTTAAACAAAAATCTTTGTTGCAACCAAACCTATCTCAAACAGTCATGCCAACTACCAGAACAATATCATCCGCAGCAACATGAGCAGGAATAACATTTTCGCAAAGATGTAGCTTTGCAACATCAACCTCAACAAGTTCAGGGTTTACAACCAGAGCAGAGCAGCTTGCTTATTCGTTCACCTGGCTCTAATGTGGAATGATGTCTTCGGATGGATGAAACAACTGTAAGTACGCTCAGTTCTTCAGGACTAGAATCCGTAAGCCTTTTTGTCAACACTGCGCAGTTGAAGTTGGTCATCTCTTATGCGAATCGAATCTTCATGTGCCAAGCCACAAACTATGAAGCTCAAGCCAAGCCTTCAAGTCACAACTTCAGGCTAACGTCCCATGTCAAGTCGTAGCAGAACTACTGATGAATGCATTCCAACTTTATCCATCCATTTCCAAGACTTCAGTTGATGACCAATAGAAGAACGACTTTGCATCAGAACCGCTTCAAGCTTGTGATTCCCTTTAGCAGTAATCTTTTGTAAATTATTCAGCAGTATGTTTTTAGAGTTCCTATTGATAATGAAGGTGGGCATAGTAATGTTAGACCTGGATGTGGAGCTTTACTTGCAAAACATGGAGGATTATCTGCTAGTAGTTTTTCACCTTTCTTTTCTGGTTCATCCGTAAAAATGCATCAGATAGACATCTTCATGGACTACTAAATATAAGCTTCTACTAGAGAATGCTTTTCAATTGATGTACACACTTGTTCGACCAAAAGCTCATGAGCAGGACGTTCTGATAACATTTCCAAGCTACAAATAATCCACGTTATCTCATAATACAAGCTTCAAGAGAAAATTTCAATATGTCACACAAGCTGCAAATGAAGTGGATAAAACGACACTCAGCCACGTCACCAAAACATTCCAAAATAGCAAAACGACATGAGAACGTATAACAGCAAGTCACACAAAAAAAAGGCAAAAACGCGGAAAGCATCAAAATGAAACGCAAGCTTCACGCAACCCTTACCAATTCTCACTCAAATTTCATCCTCATTCACTTATAAATACAACTCACACCTCACTCATTTATTCAAGCTTTGAAGCCAAAATCACTCTGATATTTTTTCTCCTCAATTTCCCTTCAAATTTCACCTTCGAAAGTCACTCGCAACCATTCTTCAAGCTTCACCCAATTCAACTCCTTTCATTCATAACCTTTCCATACAAAATTTCACCATATTTTAACTTCATTAAATAACCACAACAGCATTTTGCATTCAAAAGAGTAGAAGAAGAAGATTAGAAGCTTACGAATCTTGATTTGAAGGTATATTAGATCGATCTGTTGTGTTTTCGGTTCGAAGTTGTTGTTGAAGTTCTTTTTTTGAAATCGATTACACTGTTGTAAAGAGCTCTTGATTGCGATCCATTCTGTGTGGTTTTCGTATCCCGTCGCATTGACTTGAGCTTGCTAGCTATGGCATCAACCAGTATCAGCCGTGAGAACTTGGAGAAGATAATGAATGATTCATTGAGTTTTTTTCTAATTTCTTCTTTTTGTTTTTTTAAGTGATGCACTATTTTGGTTGGGCCGTTTGGACCGTAGAATTTTGATCCTCATTACCTTTTGTTTTTCTACCGAACCTCCCTTTTTTTTTAAAAAAAGATTTTCTTCAATTTTCTTTTAATATTTTTCTAATATTTGTTTTCTTTTGAAATAATTTTTTAAAATAGATTTTGTTTTGGATCTTGAATTTTGATAAGATCTCATCAATGTCAATGGACTTTGAG